GCGCTGGTCTCGGAAGTCTTCGAGCAGCACCTGGGAGGACACATCTTGCAGGTGAGGCCCTTTCCTGCCTGCCGCTCCTTGCCGCCACCTGGCGGCCGCCGCCGAGAACTGCAGCCTCTTGCCCCTTCCGAGGGCCACGGAAGCCCCCCCACCGCCCCCCGCGTGGGAACAGTGCGCTCCAGGCAGAGTCCCAGATTTCAGACCACTTGGCGGCTGGACGGGCGGGCGCCAGGTCCGCCCTTTCTCCCTCCCCGTCTCTCCCCACTCTAGTCCCTGGACGGCTTCGTGTTCGCCTTGAACCAGGAAGGAAAATTCCTCTACATCTCAGAGACGGTCTCCATCTACCTGGGTCTCTCGCAGGTAAGGGGCCCCGGGTGCCGCCTGGACGGCTCGGCCGCCGTCGCCCTTGCAGGCCTCTCTCTCGCCTGGGCTCACCATCCCAGCAGGAAAAAATGGCCTGGATCCATGGTCCCCAAAGTGTATCCCTGGGAACCCCACGTGGCAGCCAACGTCCTCACAGGCAGGGTGGGGGGGGCTGTCAAAGGAGCAGGTCAAACTGGGCGCAGTGGCTCACCCCTGGGTTCGAGACCAGCCTGGATAACTTGGCAAGACTTCATCACTACAATAAAAAAAATCAGGCCGGGCACGGTGGCTCACGCCTACAATCCCAGCACTTTGGGAGGCCGAGGTGAGAGGGTTGTCTGAGTCCAGGGGTCCAAGACCAGCCTGGACAATTTGGCAAGACCTCATCTCTACAACACATCAAAAAATTAGCCGGGTGTGGTGGCACAAGCCTGGGGTTCCAGCTACTCAGAAGCTTAGAGGGAAGAGTCACCTGAGCCCATCAGGTCAAGGCTGCAGTGGCCATGAGCATGCCACTGCACTCCAGCCTGGGGAACAGAGTGAGACTCTGACTCAAAAAAAAAAAAGTAACAGATCTGCCCAGGCACAGTGGCTCCAGCCTGTAATCCCAGAACTTTGGGAGGTCGAGGTGAGTGGATTGCCTGAGTCCAGAGGTTCGAGACCAGCCTGGGCAACTTGGTGAGACTTTGTCTCTACAATAAATCAAAAAATTAGCCGGGCATGGTGGCGCATGCCTGTAGTTCCAGCTACTTGGAAAGCTGAGCCAGAAGGATCACCTGAGCTGAGCAGGTGGAGACTGTGGTGGCTGTGAGTGTGCCACTGAGCTCCAGCCTGGGCAACAGAATGAGACTCCTGTTGCCCAGGCTGAAGGAGTCTGAGACTCCCATTCAAAAAAAAAAAAAAAAAGTAACAGGTCAATTTGAGAAGAGCAAGTTAGCTGGAAGATCAGTTGGCCAGTGACTGGCTGGCCTGATGTGCCATTCGCCAACACTTGTGTCCTCTTGACAGTGTTAAAGGTTTACAGCAATTCGTATTGAAGGGCTTGAGGCTTGCCTGTTTTGGAGGCTCTTCTGTGGCATGCTGGTTTCTATTTCGGCCTGTTGTCTCTGCCCCAGCTCTGGCAGCTGGGAGCTGACAGGGAACAGGAGGGCAGAGAGAGGCCAAAAGCCCCTGCTTCGGAGCCCCTGGCTTCTTGCCAGTCCTTCCGGTATAAATTACTTTCAACCTCAGTCATTTTTACAGACATTTTGGGCAAGTGGGAAATTTGGGAAATTCAGGGCATTGGCAAAATCAGGGAGTTGTTAGAGCTTCCTGGAGGAGGAAGACCCTGAAATGAGGAGAATTTGGACAAGAGGAAGGGAGGGAGGAAAGACTTGAAACGGGTGGGGGGGAGGGTTTCATAAGGGGGAGGAGGCCAGACCCTAAGCTGCGGGGCAGTGGGGGCCATGGGTGGTTTCAGAGGAGAGCCATGGTCAGATAAGTAACTCGTAGAGGGACCTTTCAGTGAAAGTCAGAAAACCAGTGAGGCAGGACCATCGTGAGGAGAAGACAAGTGTCTGGACTCAGGGAGGTGGGAAGAGAAGTGGACTGCTGGGAGAGAGATTTGAGGTAGAATTGAATGTGAAAATGCAAAATTAAAAGGTTCTAGTCAGCCAGGCTCGGTGGCTCAGCCTGTAATCCTGTGCTTTGGGAGGCTGAGGTGAGTGGATTGCCTGAGCCCATGGGTTCAAGACCCACCTGGGCAACTTGACGAGACCTCATCTCTACAATAAATCAAAAACTAGCCGGGCATGATAGCGCGCGCCTGTGGTTCCAGCTACTTGGAAGGCTGAGGCGGAAGGATTGCCGGAGCCCAGCAGGTCGAGGCTGCGGTGGCCGGGAGCAGCCACTGCACTCCAGTTTGGGCGACAGAGTGAGACTCTGACCTCAAAAAAAAAAAAAGGTTCTAGTGGAATGTGATGACTCACGCCTGCAATCCCAGCACTTCGGGAGGCTGAGGTAGGAGGACTGCTCTAGCCCAGGAGTTCAAGCCCAGCCTGGGTGACACAGTGACAGCCCTCTCGCTACAAAAACATCTAAACATTAGCTGGGCATCGTGGCACACGCCTGTCATCCCAGCTACTCAGGAGGCCAAGGCAGGAGGATCAGTTGAGCCCAGGAGATCGAGGCTGTGGTGAGCTGTGGCTGGGCCCCTGCACTCCAGCCTGGGTGACAGGGTGAGACCCTGTTTCAAACAAACAAACGTATTAACTCTCTAAAGAGTTTGAAAGTCATCCCACTGTTTGTTTTCTGAATCCCATTCCTGCTGGTCCACCCTGTGACTCACTCAGGCTGTATGGGGGTGGAAGTGAGTAAGCAGGAGTCGGATTGTTGGAGGCTCTCACAAGTCCCAAACACTCCCCCCAGCTCCATCCCCCCTTTTTTTTTGACTCGAAGTTTCACTCTGTCGCCCAGGCTGGAATGCAGTGGCACCCTCGCCACCACCGCAGCCTCGACCCCCTGAGCTCAGACGATCCTTCTGCCTCAGCCCTCCAAGTAGCTGGAACTACCACGCCCGGCTCAAGCCCCCTCTCAATAGAATTGAAAGCAGGCAGAACACCCCTACTAATCAGCTGGACTCATCCCAGCACTTTGGGAGGCTGAGGCGAGTGGATTGCCTGACCCCACGGGCTCGAGACCAGCCTGGGCAACTTGGCGAGACCTCAGCTCTACAATAAATTTAAAAATTAGCCGAGCCTAGTGGTGCACACCTGTGGTTGCAGCTACTAGGAAGGCTGAGGCAGAAGGATCGCCGGAGCCCAGCGGGTCGTGAGCACGCCACTGCACTCCAGCCTGGGCGATGGAGACTCCAACTCAAAGAGAAAAAAAGATAGAAAACCCTTGCTAGTCATTGGACACGAAGCTAGAAGAGCCTAGGTTTGCACCCCGCTCGGAAAGGGTGAAATTTGTTTTCTTTTTTCTTTTTTTGAGTCGGAGTCTCCCTGGGTCGCCCAGGCTGGAGGGCGGCGGCCGCTCCCGGCCACCGCAGCCTCGACCTGCTGGGCTCCGGCGATCCTTCCGCCTCAGCCTTCCGAGTAGCTGGAACTACAGGCATGTGCTACC